GACTCTAGGATATAAATGACACAGTTCTCAATTTCAAGGTCTTCTCAGAGAACCAATGTTGGTGTTTCGTCCATTGAGCCCAAATTCCCAGTCCCTGTTGGTACTTTTGACCTTTCTTGAATATTTGACTTTGACTGAGGGAGACTAATTGTTACATATGAACTGTGATTTGGCCCATTATTCTCCATGGAGGAGAAAAAGACGACATACACTTGTTCCTCCATTTAGGGTTCATCATTTAGAACTAAGGAGTCTCCCAAAGTTTGAAACACGTCTTCATTTTCCTCCTTCCTCTTTCATGTCTCCACTCTTGTTTCCACATGATGGGGAATCCTTTTGAGCTCCGGAGTCAGTAGGAGTTTGGAGGAGTCTCAGAGGCTCACTGGTACCCCACTGGGAGGTAGGATCCATTAAGTCAGAGCGTTGTTTGGATCTTCTCTCCTTTACCTTCTTGTTTTGGTTTTCTTGGCTCCTGAAGAGTTTGATGACTGAATACCTTTTGCGATTGCCATGTTGAGCTTGACCACAGATCTGAAACATGAAACAAGAGTCCTGGTTAGAAACTCCTTGTTGTTGATCAGAAATAACAACAAAAACCCAACAAAAATGTGAGTTTTGTTATTTACCTTAAAGCTGTAAGAAATCTGTGGCTGTTTATGCTGGTAACTTTTTGCAAGGCCTCCGTTCTGCCGTCTTCAGGACTGTGGAGAGAAACAGGCCGTCGTTAAAATTAGGACTGAAACTAAACCACAAATATAGACGTTTCAGAACTTGATGTCACATTTTGGCGCCTTAGAAAAAGAGATCTATAACCTGACCCTACTGTGGGTGCAACTGTTCTGGACCAAGTTGGCAATTCCAGAGATTCCTAATGTAAATATTTTTATGGCTGAAAAGCAGGACGTGCCTTACAAAACATCTTCAAGGACAACATCAAGAGATAATGAGTAATCCATCGTGGTGCTTTTGTGACCACAACATACCAAAGACGCAACACCAACTCCATTGAGCCACAACAGAAATGTAAACTTTCCTAAAAATAGCCGAGTTTTTAATAAACCATAGTCACTCGGGAGAAATGCAGGTTTTGCTATCTGCCACCACCCTCATACCACAGGGCCACTATCACACGTCCGATCATTGAATCTTTTCTCTGGCTCTGTGGCGACATGCTTTCTGGATGTATCACTTAAGACCAAGAAAGATGCAGATCTATTCTGATACTATCATCCAAACCCAGATTATGTCGTGAGGGGGAAAATACTGAGTTTCCTGCCGGGTAGGTATACAGAATAAAAAGGCATTGCTCACCTTTTATGGCAAAAGCCATGGCAGGTTTTATCTGCAGGATCGCTGCATTCACATCGGCTGGCTGACCGGCGACGGCGAGACGCAGAACTTCCCAGGCCATAAGGAAGGAGTTTGCTGTTAAAGACAAATGAAACATTTTTAGATGGAGATAGCTTATTGAAGCATCTCTGGGCTTTTATTAGATATTTGGCTTTTCACACACAAAACCAACCAGCAGCATCACTGTCTGAAGCTGTGAAGAACCTCACCTCGGTGTGTTGACCCAGATGATGTCCAGGTGGCAGAAGTAGATGCACTCTCTGTCTTCCCAGTTGCTACAGGAGCAGCGCTTGGTCCTGATGTGGCGCTGATGTGGCTCTGAGACGATCGCTTCCTGCTGGTCTGATAAAGGGAGTCCACAGCCTGGCAGGTACCAGAGATCCAGAGATTAGACAGCATTACAAATGTGTGCATACATATGTGATTATAAATCACACATGCACATAAAGAGACATACAATATGTGTAATGTGGACCCATTGCTGCACAAATATTATTAGTTATTTAACTTATTCCAATTAAGATGATACACTATCTTGACCAGAAGTGCCTGGATCAGCAGTGCTACGCTGATATTGTGTTTAATCTCTAATGAAAGGTGTGTTTCTTATTGAGGTCAAGTGTTTCATGGAAGTCTGCACTTGTTCTATTTATGCTCTCTGTTTACTGGTCAAAGTCTGGTCAAATAAAACAGCAGCATCTCTATTTTTAATCCATCATAAAAAAAATAAGTAAATAAAAACTTCCAGGTTTCAGAACTTTACTCTGTCCAGAAATCTTTAATAAGTGTCCAACTTCCAAGAGTTTCAATGCTACAAACAAAATAATAATAAAAATAATAATAATAATAATAATAATAATAAAACAACTTACCATCTTGTAGAGACATGCAGATAATGAATAAACCCAGCATCTTGCTCCTGAAGCGGTTCATTGTGGTTCTTTGTGGCGTTGGATGAAAGCAGCGGCAGTCAGGAGACACGTTCAGGTCGGTGGGCAGGTTTAGCGTCTGAACTCTGTGCAGCAGCAGCAACAGGTGCTTTGTGTTCAGCTGCAGCCAGGAGCGTCTGCTTATATATCCCACAGGCTCCTCCCACATCTGTGAGCTTGGCTGTTGTTATACAACTCGGCTGAGACTCCACCTGAAACCCCCACATCCCCGCTCCATCACGGTGACACACAGCATTCCAGTCACCGGAGTGAAGCCGCCGTCTCCTCATGGAATGTCATTCAGACTGGAAACTCAAAATAACAACGGCAGGATGAGAATATTTCTAAGCAGCTCATAATGAATACATCTCTACAGATAGCATGTTTATCATCTTCTGTCATTCTCTTTTATCTTTTTTTTCTGTAGTTATGCTTATATTAGTCAAATATGCAGAGTTGGGTGGTAACTAGTTACATTTCCTTGAGTAACTTTTTTGAAAAAGAGGTACCTTTAGGATCATTTTTACTAAAGCTGTAATTTTGACTTTTACTTAAGTAATTTTATCATGAAGTATTTCTACTACTGGATTTTCTACCCACTGAATGAAAAACAAACATGTTTTAACCAGAAATTCAACAGACACACCTGCAGCTTTATGTTAAAGTTTATGCGTTTTTTTATTGAAAGAAACTGATTTGGAAAATTTTTATTTTACCTGATTTTATTTTTTTTGTTACTTACATGAATCACGAATCATTGGATTTTCATCCATAAAATATGAAAATTTCCACGTAACTTTAGATTTGATGATGTAATTTTTAAATATTAAATGATTGATCACTTGATAAGTTACTCAGTACTTGAGTAGACTTTTTACCAAATACTTTTTTACTCTCAAATTAGTCATTTAACTTGAGTAAAAATATGTTGAAGTGGTGCTACTCTTACTTGAGTACAATGTTTTGGTACACTGTACTGAGTTAGAGTTTGGACTGTGGTCAAACAAGGGTTTAAAAGGTGGTTGCCTTTCACTTTTTGACAAATAAAATGATTTCTTTGGAAAATCAGGAGCATGCAGCGGCCGAGAGGGGCTGCGCCAGCCTGCAGGGAGCCTTGTTTGTTTTTCCTCATTCCACAGATGAGAGACGTGGAACGAGATGGAACCGGAGCGGCAGAGGAAGAGGTGAGTGGCAGCAGAAGGTTTGCATGCGCCCCGCCGCTGATAGGGGGATAAAAAGAAGGGCTGTCAGCACCCCCCGCAGGAAGGTGAGGTCATAGCAGCGTCTCCACGGTGAGCATCACGGTTTGACCTTCGTAGAGAGATACGCCGGATCAGCTCTCTGCAGCCCACACACACACACACACACACACACACAAACATGCTTGTGTTGCTATCTTTGTGGGGACTTTCCATTGACTTCCATTCATTTCTTCAGCCTAAACCTTACCTTTACCACTTTCCTAACCCTAACCATCACATACCTAACCCTAACCCTAACCAAAACTCAATTCATACCTTAGCCCTAAATCTGACCCCTGACCCAAAAACAGGGATTCCCCTTGTGGGGACCAGGCTCCGGTCCCCACAAGGAGCAATTGGTCCCCACAACGTAGTATATGGCAGGAAAATCGTCCCCACAAGGTATTACAAACAAACGCACACACACAACCAAGTAAACACACTACAGTAAAACTCCACTGACACACACTCTCTTCTAATCCCACATACACAGATATTGAAATGTGTACCCACAGAGCCTAAGGAGTTAAAGTCAAACCTCTCAGGTATTCCTTCCCGTTGTCGTGTTGTGATCTTCAGAGCTACAGGCTGGTGAACTTGAGACAAAGAGAGCATGTGATACCGGAACAAGTGGGAGAAATGAAGGAATTCAAATCAAAGTGTTAGTAGTGACAGTTCCAGCACAACTAGGTCCGACAAACTGAGGCTGTTTTTCTTCTGTTTTTTTTTTTTTGTTCTGATTTTGTCCAACTTTCCTCTTCACAGAACAGCAGGACGTCTACTGACTTCAAATGACCAACACTTAGAGTGAAGGTCCTCACACTGAACTTTTGCATGCTACACTTTTCAGATTTTCATTTGTACACTGTTTGAAAGCCATCGATATAGTCTGTTGTGTTGGTCTGTCACATAATATTTCACTAACGTAGATTGAATTTTGTGGTTTTAATGCATCAAAATGTGCTAAAACGTCTAGGAGTGTGAATACATTTGCAAGGACTTGTATTTCCTCATGTGTAAGTGTTAAAAACACCTGTCAAATAATTCATGATTAAATCATGATTGTGATTAGACAAAATCTTTTTGTCAGATTTACATGCTGCTTATCAAAATGCAACCTGTATTACAGCTTTCTTTTACAAAGGCTCCAAATTTAATCCAAATATTAAATGATTGGAAACATCTGACTTCTATTGATCTGTTGGTGTCACAATATGCTCATATAAACAATGTTATGTCATTAAAGCAGGAGTTTATTTTCAGTGCTGCGTCATGCTGCAGTATGCTGGCTAAGGTGTTGTTCTTCCTGGATGTTCACAGGCGCATCTGCTCCCAAAATAAAATCAAAGTAGCATCAACGTATTTGTTTTACATATTATTTACCATAAATGGTTTCAGATTGCGGACCAGACGGCCAAATTTAAAAACAGGAAGGAGTGCAATTGTTTAGTTAATGCTGGATGGAAAGTCTGGTAGAGGAATTTTTTTACATCAGCGCTGCGCTGGAAACTTGATAGATAGAAGGTGCTTAGAGAAACAACAGGAGGAAAAAACACGGCTGGAGCATTGTGTGCTGGTTTTGGAGGGTTAAGGTTAAAAGGAAATGCCACAAGGATGTCAAAATGTGCGCAGACTGATATTGGACCAATCACAGGTTTACAGTGAGGTGGAAAAAAAAAACAGATCTTGAGTAAATATTTGTCTGATGGAAAAATGGAGTCAATCTGAAGGTAACCTTTGGCCCTCGCTTCCTTTCCTCTTGCTGCTTGGCAGGGTGGCAGGGTGAAAAATGTGCTCTTATCTGCCCGTCACTTCCGCCTGCTGCTGAGGGACAAAGAGGAATGCAAGGCGGTGTGGTGACAAACAAAAAGCTGAGCTGTGATTGCAGAATCATTAAGAATTCCTAAAGGATGAGGGAAAACGTTTGATCCGCTGAGGCAGCTGCAGCCTGCCACGATATCAGCATCCTTTAAAGCGTGTAAAAGTCTTAAATTCATGTATCTAAAATTAAGTCTTTAAAATGTATTAAATTCTTAAAACAAGATGTAACTTGGCCTTGAATACATATATATTACATTTTGTCATGGCAGGACCATTTAATCTTGTATATTCAATATAAGATGGAAAGATGGGAAAGACGTTTGCGGCTCGCCGTCTGCCGCAGTCAGCTTTGTTGTTTTTGTGTCCTTATAGTGGCCATTATGTTGTACTTCAAATAGTTTTATGTATTCTGTACAGCACTTTGGTGCTTTTGGTAATTTTAATTTAAATCTGAATTGATTTGGATGTAGTGTTTTTCTGACATCTTCATTGCGTTCTGTGACACGAAGTGGTTGAGGCAACTCTGGACAAATACTCTGACCTTTCTAGTTTCTTGCGTTGATCATCGGTAAGTGAAAACATATCGACATTCGGCTGGATTACATTCGACTTTGCCGTTACCTCACTTCTATTACCAACCCTTTAGAGGCTACTTGCATCCTGCGCCCCAGATATGTCACAGTTTTGCTCCCTGGCGTGACTAAAACTCCATAGAAAATGGTCGCCACTGTGATTAGCGCACAGTTCCTTCACACTGTGGTCAAGCAACTGTCTGACCTTTTGAAGAATTTTCAACAAAGTTGTTACTATGATGGGATATACAGCTGAGATTTGGGTGATGCAGGTCTTAAATTTCCTTCGTAATAGTCTTAAAAAGGTTTCAAAAAGTCTTGAATTTGACTTGGTGAACTCAAATTCAGGAACCATCATGGTTTCTGATGGTTTTCATCATAAACCATGATGAAACTACCTGCTAGCACTGTCTCTTTAGCAGAAACGTCTATATTAGCTATCACATTAGCATAGACCTTTCAAGGCAACAGTTAGAAGCTAACTTGATCAACGCAAGTTAGCATCTTCACCCTATCTCTGAGATGGAGATGTAGGGTGGTACATTTCCACCCTACTCATCTGGTTCAGGTCAAGTATTAAGACCATTTTCCTCCACAAATCATGAAGAGAAGACTGTTTGATATTAGCTTTAAATACTAAACAGAAACATTTTAATATCAAGGGCTCAGGAGTTTGGATGATGTCCAGGAGATTTTAGTGAGAGCAGAAGAAGCAACAGCATTCCTCATATAGAGAGTTAAAATCTGGTGTTTATGTGAGCAGAGCACATTTCCTTAAATCTAATCTGAACAATCCCAGTGACAGAAAGACCTTCTGTAACCTTTATGCTATGAGGAGATGGTTTGTTTTTCAGGCCTGGGAGTCTTTGTGATCCTGGTCAGGGTGGAAGAGAGAGCAGGGGTCTCTGGCATTCCAGGCAGACTTGACATTTCCCTGACATTAGGCTATTTTTGTTACATTTTTCCATTCTAAATCCAGGACATTTCCATTGTCCTGGGTTTAGTTTAAGGAACGCTGTTGTGAAGCTACTCTGGAGACTATCCCTGCTTTGAGTTGATTCTTTCTTATTACTCAGAGTAATAATAAGGGTACAGAGAAGCTGCTGAACCAATCACAGCCAGGTCTGGTTTGGGGCAATGAGATTAAAAAAAAATTAAAATAGGAGCAAGAACTGAATATGAATTTACATATTTTAAATTAGGGTTATAAGTAACCATCCTCCACTACAAAGAGAGAAGTGCCGAGCCTAATGAGCCGACTTTTAGTGTTAATTTAATATTTGGAGGCATGACCAACACAGACTGAACTGCTTCCTTCACTTCTGCCATAGCTAAAACTACAGGCAGCCTACAATTCTAAAACACCGCAGAAAAATCAACTTCTCACTCCACTTGACTGAAATTCTACGAGAGGAATCCAAGTGAATGGGAGTAAACCCAGATGAAACACTAAAGAGAGATGTGAATCAAGTGAAACTGCATAGAATAGGTGAGGACTGAGGATTGGTTGTATAACTGTCTCTGATCAGTGGGGAAGGATCCACTGTTACAGAGTGACAGCGTAGATGCGTACGGTGTTGGTGTGTCAGCCTATCTTGCAGCTCATCTCCCCAATCTGTTCAAGATCAGATTCCATTACAACACTTTTTCAGTGATGCAGGCTCTCTTGTTTTTATAAGATAAAGCAGCGAATCTGAAACCTCATCACGGAGCAGCCACGCCCTGATGAAAACCCAAAGAGAAACGGAGAACAGGAACCAAACTTGGTAACCGTTGGTGGTTTTCGAACATCGGTGACTCACACAGATAGCGGCGCGGGGTGAGCTTAAAAGAAATATGGGCCAAGCGTCTGCAGGAGTAGATCAAAGATTTGATTGCAGCAGCGTACCTGCCAACATGTCAGACACACAAAGGTAAAATGTAAGTGATGAGGGTATCCGCCACACCTGTCTGCCATGACTATGTGAGGATGAGGGTTAGCCAGAGTTGCAAGAGGAGACAAGTGATGCTTGCATAAAAAAATGTGAAACATTTACTGTATAACAGGTAAACATGGAAAATGATTAAGAAAGATTTTGGTGCGGTGTTTCTCAGCAACCAAGCATTTTCGTGACTACAAAGGGAAAATATTCTAAAGCATTTTTAATGAAACACTTTCAGACCCACATAAAGGTATGATACCTTAAATGGGAAAACAGAGCAGTGGACCTCCACCTATTCTTGGTTCCTTCGCAAGTGCTTCTTTGGGTCTTTTCACGCCTGATAGACTTTTTTCAGCTGCTGCGGTTCTGTGCACTGTCAAAAGAACCAAACATTTTATAAAACCTGTTCCCCTCCTCGCCTGTGGAGGCGCTGCACCAAGAACCGCTGAAGGACACAACATGAAAATCTCTGACGAAAACCCTGAGCCAAAACTGGAGTGGCGTCAGATGGTTGGAGGATTTGATTTTTGTCTGACCCCGAGTCATCTCTCCCGTTTGCACTAGACCTGTGTGTTTGTTTTAGTTGTATTTAACTAAACTGAGACTAAGCAGATTCTCTGGTCTGCAGCAGAGTTTGATTGTGAATTCACACCTCCGCAAACGAACCAGACTGCCAAGGTAAATGAACCAGAGTTTGATTAAAGCCGACTAAATGAATATGATGTGAATGAACCCTTACTTACCCTAACCTGCCTTTTTGTGGATTCAAAAGAGAATGCACCATGAGAAGTTGAAACACCTGAGTGCAATCCTTGACAAGCTATTGGCTAGCTTTTAGAAAGCAGCTAATCCAAGGACATCCTGCATTTAAAACCCAAGGTGCATCAACGAAGTTTAGGTTAGAGGCTATGCAGCCAGGTCATATTAGCTTTAGTAAGTAGAATAGGTCGTCTCAAAGTCGTAAGCTCATCTTTCATTTTCCATTCTGAACAAAGGTAACATTGAAATAAGCCTCCTATTTCTAAACAATGATCTTGACAATTGAACAGTTTTTATGAGGAAATACTGAACATTGTTGTGGGTTCGTGTCACCCGTCTCCTGTCTCCCTGCCCTCATTGTCACATACCTGCTGCAGACACCCGCATCACTTAAACCGGTACGCTGACAGTTAGCGTTCACATCCACGCTGCTTGTTTATGCTGTGCAATGACAAAGTGAAATTACCGACATGAGCAAGTCGCCACGGTATGTTTCCAAAAGTAAGGAGGATGTTCAAGCCAACGGTTTTCATAAGTCATGAAGGTAGATTTTTGTGAGTATTTTTTTTTCTTTCTGTTTTTTTCTGAGAAACACCAATAAACCCAACACACGCGGTTAGGACGGCGTTACCAAAACTTGAGAACAGAGGTGGAATTGCTCCTGAAATAGCAATGAATACCAGGAACTGAACTATCTACTTTTCTAATAAACACCAAATGTAAAGTAAAATATTTGCTCCAAGATAAATTTCTTGAACAATTTCTATTCATCAAAAGAACTTCATATCTGACAAAGTTAAAGTGAGTAAATGCTAAATTAATTAAGCTATATTTGATATATTCACCATTTTTAACAACTGAAAGTAACAGTTACTTGATTGTGCTGTATAATTGTATTATGTACCTGGAAAACACATAATACTGCCTGTTTAATATTATGTAAGGCACACTGCACTCAGAAGTTCTCCATTCCATTCGTTGTTAGACTGCTGGCACCACTTGGTTGGAGCTCTGTTGAATTGGGTCAGTCACTTTAAAGTGAATACTTATGCAATCACTTATTTCCTATTAGTCTACATATATTTGTCATTAGGTTTTAGAAATCAGTTTTTACACTGACATCACTGGGATTTTTGCTTCTTTTATTGCCCTTGTGTTGTAGGAAACAACACAAGGGCAAGTAATCCAAGGGCTAAATACTTTTCATATGCACTACAAACTGTAAACTTGTGGCTGTAAATCACAGCCACAAGTTTAGATTGTTCTGGTTTGCCCTGCTTCCTTCCTATTTACTCATGCTTTATATGAAATTCAGAAGAATTAACTGTTTATGTAACTCTATGTAACTCTTAGCTCTCCTTTAACAAAGGTAATTACCTTCAGACTTTAAATCACTGCAAGCTTCCAAAAATGTGGGGTGTTGTTATGCTTGTCGCTATAGAAACTCAAACTGCTTTCCAGGGAACCTTATCAGTGGATTAATTTATATAAAGAGGAAACACCCAGACATGACATCAGCCATTGTCAACATCTACTTCTCTGCTAAACCAGAACTTTGTCTTAAAATGTTCAACATATTCGGGTCCAATTAGAAGAAACAACAATAATCCCCCTGAACCGTCCCTAAGGTATGATTGAAGTCTGTGGATGATGTCATAATGCCTGTAAGCGGCAGGCAGCTCTCTGCTGCCATCCAGTGGATACAGTAGACTCCTGCTCCTCAATGTCGACCTACTTCAGCGGCATTTCACAGCAGAGAGAATGACTTAGAGGGAAGAGTGAACTCTGTCATTACTATAAAATTTAAACAAACCAAGAATTAATTTATTGGTTAAAAACATTAACCCACACTAGTATGAAGTGAGCGGTAGTGGTTTGTACACAAAAGATTATGTTATGTTTACGTCAATGTACCAGCTGTAATCCTGTAATCGTCAGTTAATTTAGTCATGGATTTATGGTTAGCTGGAGTTCATGGGGTCAAAAAAGGAAGGAAAAACAGCTAAACATTCGTCAACAAGTTCCAGTGTTTCTCTGTCTAAACTGGAAAACCAGATTTCTAACCAGAAGCATTTGTTACGCAAAATGGTAACGTGATTTTTAATATATATATATATATATATTTTACAAAAACTATTTTGAGACATTCATTAAGATTTACAGCATGAACTGTGCAAACAGTTCATGCTAACTAACTTGAATGACCAATATGGAATTATTTTGCACTTTGACTTCTGAGGACAGGATTTGATTAGATGTTATTTGTACTTTAAATGTGAACTGTTAAAATCCTGTTTTTTGGGAAGGCTATGTGCAGCAATTTCAGCTATTTTGTTAAACTACATTATGGCAAAAAGTTAAGGCTTTTTTTTTAAAGTTTTATTTAATTTAAAAAGAAAAATCTGTCATTTTAGGCAACAGCAGTCACAAAAAAACCAAAATATTGCAACATCTTGGAGGAACTGAATAATTTATCTGGGTAGTGATGCTGTACTGCTATTATCTAGGAATTTAAAGAAATGTTTATATTCATATTTATATTATTGAGAGGAGTAGTGGAATTATTATTATTTTTTAAAAAAGGGAGACCTCACAAGAAGCTTGAAGTTCCAATCAGTTGTTTTTATAACAGGAAACTTCGTTTTGCCTGGAAAAAAAAAAAAAAACATGGAAAGAAGGACTTTAGAGACCAGCCATGTGTCACAGTTTTAATATAAATCTGTAAAAATGAGACGTTTAATGGCAAACATGAAAATGAGTGATTGTATCGTTTAGAAAAGGCAAAAAAACAAAAAAAAACAAACAAAAAAAACACACACATCCGTTTATGACGATTGAAAGCCAACAGTACCATTGTCACTGAGTACATGAAACATCTCCATCAGATCATCTGTCAGTGCTCTCCCTACACTTGGAGCTGAAGCTGGTTCCCTACAGGAAAGGCTGATCCCAGCTCTGCTTCTCACTCCACAACACTAACAACAAAACAAAAAATTCTGACAAATCAGAAAAATCACAGCTTTATGACGCTTCAAACCACAATCCTGACATCAAATTGCACTTTAAATACTGGTCTGAGTGAATAAATATCTGTTCTGATAATACAGTACAATAACATAGCAATAGTTGAATTAGAGCCGTCTCAATGGGGCTAACAGGAAAACTCAATTCATTCCAGCTGCTGTTGCATAACGTACAGAATTTGCATAATAGCACATAAATAAATTAACACAGATGACGTCAAACGAAAGGGTAAAAAAGATTTACAAAACGTACTGCATATCTAACAGTGCTTATTTATATATTTAGATATATTATTCAGATAATTACATAACAGCGTCATTCAGAAGCGGTGCTCAAGTGCTTTCGTCTTGTTGAGCTTTGGAATATTTCACCGTCACCTGGACTCTGTTTCTTTTCTTCTCTTCTTTTTGCACTGTCCCTTTATATATATATATATATATAAAAAGTCTCCCTCCTATCAGAGATGCTTCTGAGAGGAGTTCTGACCTTCAGTGTAAACATGCCTCTCTGTGTCGCTTCTGGAAGTGGAGGGCTGCTGGACGGGGAGGCCTTTGTCTCCTGGGGGTGTTTGCTCTGCAGCTCGGGGGCGCCGTGGAGCGCTGCTTGCCACCATCTCTTTGTGGGCATCCTGGTACGGCGGGGCAGCCATCTTTCCGGTTGGGATGTGGGAGGCCGCCGGGCTGGCCACCAGACGGTAGAGCGGAAGGGTGGACCTGGGCTGGACCATGTGGATCCCCCCGATGGGGATCAGGAGGCTGGGCGTTCTGCCGGGCTGCTGGGAGTGAAGCGGGAGGTGGCTCAGGAGTCGGTTGGTTCCTCGAGGTCGGGCAGGATGAGGGCCGATGATGGGGACCAGACTGCTCTCATCACCCGACTGCAAAAGACAAAGATGGGCAGCAGAAGAGGGATGATTGTGATGTAGCAGGAGATTCAGGAAGGAGAGTTCAGAAAAGGAATAAAGGAACAAAACAAGCAAATTACATACTAAAGGGCTCTGAAGGTCGTTGATATCATTGGATTTTAAATGGTAATTACCATAATTCTCGGACATTGGCTCCTCTCCCCACTGAGCCACGGTCATATCAGAGTAAAGAGAAATGTAAAACACAGGTCTCCCTTTCCTTCCACTTCACAACTGAGCCCTACCTTGTGTTGCTATGTGGCATTAAACCCCAATCGACACATTGGAGATTGAGATTGTGACATGACAACAGAGGGAAAGATTTAAAGGGGTAGGAAGTCTTTTTCTAAGGCACGGTTTGAGGAGCTTCCACCACATTTTCATAATATCCCTGTTTTTTGTCTTCAATCTCCTCCCTGTGGCTCCAATCTTTCACCTGCTTCCCAGTTTTCCAGCCAGCTGCCCACAGAAAACATGCCGACTCTATTTCCAAGCTCTCCTGGTTTATTCTGGGCTCAGGAGTTACAGGTTGATAGGAAGCATGAGAGTTGCCTTTCCTTCCTGTTCCAATAAATGCGACTTTAAACAAGCTGAGATGTAGCAGCCGATCTATATTTGCTCTGCGTGTTGACCGACTGGGATTAAACCGAGCCACACAACATTGGCTGTTTGAGTCTGAAGGGCGTTTATTTTAGTCTGAGCTAAACTAACATGGATGGAGTCACAGGTGAAAGAAGGCTGCGGTTTGGCTTATTCCTAGGCTGTTTTCACACCTGATGGTCTGGTAGACTTGGTCTGACTGGGAACCAAATTCACAACATTTGTTCCGTTTTCAGCTGCTACGGTTCTCTTTCACGCTGCACTCTGTCAAATCAACCACACTTTGAAAAATCCCCCTGTGGGGCACTGCAGCAAGAATCACTGAAGGGAATGACAAAAACATCTGAAAGCAACTTCCTTCACAAATCTAAGCAAAAATGGAGTGGCAACTGACTGTAGAGGTTGTAGGATTTCTCTTTAGTCTTTGGTAAAAGATCACAAGCCATTTTTCCCATTAGCACTAGACCCTCAAGGTAGCTTGGGTTGTATCTACCCAGAATGCACTGTGCTATAGTCCACTTCCTGCTATTGGAGTGGTCTCCAGTCCACTTGGCGTTTTCATATTAATTTGAACAGCACCAGAGTTCATATCACCTGAACCAGGACCGAGGTTAGTAGGTGGACCAGTTTGTTTTATTAAGCTGCATCAGAGTTCAATTACGCATTCACACCTTCCCAACTAACTGGACCTTCTAGGCAAATGAACTGAGGTTTGATTAAATTATACATTTATTCAACAGACTCACCAGAGCTGCAGCAGGCCGTAACTCCTTCTGTGGACGGCAAGTTTGACATGGAGCAGATCCACCAGCTGGGGAGCCAGGAAACCCGGTGGAGTGGGACCCCTCGGCTGGGCCCCTGACTGGAGATGCTGCTGTCTTCAGAACTGAGGAGACGGGATGAGAGGACGGAGACAGGGACGAGGTTGGCGCAGGAGACGGGTGTGGGCCGGGTGATGGGCTGCGAGGTGGAGACGGCTCCCTTTCTGGACCTGGAGACTGGGTGTGTGGAGAGTGGGAGGCCCCGGAGGACGAAGCATTGAGGCGCCTGCGGGCGAACAGGGCCCTCCTGGTGCTGGCGGAGCTCCTCCTGGTGGGAGGTGGGGGGGGCGAGCTGCACGTGTTCCCCACCAGCCGGTCCTCCACTCCAGCTTTTTCCCCTCTGGTGTGTGAACCGTCAGGTACTGTGGACCCACTGCCTTCATCATGTGTACCGTCATCATCCTCATGAGCAGCGTCTTGGCGGTCAGAGTCCTCGAGTTGGTCTGGATCGGCTGCTTGGTCCTTTGATTCTAATGGAGCAGAGAGAAAAACTGATTTCAAACTTTTCTGTTATTTTTTAATTTATGAACATTTATGACTTGTCATGAAGTGTCATTCGCTAAATAATGACACTTTTAATGCAAAGTTGCTTTAAAAGTTGTATTAAAGTCCATTAAAAGAGCCAACTTTGAACTATTTGGTAAATACTGACATTTTAATGGAAAGTTGGCACTTTTAATGGACTTTAATGCAACTTTTAAAGCAACTTTGCATTAAAAGTGTCATTATTTACCAAATGACACACAGTCATAAACATTCATAAAGACTCCTTTATGATCTTAATGGGTGTTATGTCATATTTATGACGGCGTCATGTCAGTCTTATGCACACCCCTTCAAATAAAGTGTTAACAAATGAGCTGTTATGAGAAAGAAGAAGGACCAAAGTAAAGTAATATTTAACAGGACTATATCATCAACACAGAATAGAACAAACCTCCAGGTGTGTCGTCCTGGTGACCTCTGCCCTCTGCCCCAGGAGTCAGGTGTTCACCAAGCACTACTGAAAACAAACAGCAGCTCTGTGGAAAGGAGCCCGGACCAGAGAAGAAGAGCAGCAGCTTCACAGGTTCTTATCTCACCTGGAGCGCCCAGCGAGCCACTGCACACCT